GTATTTTTCTTTTTGTTTTTTTTTATCATTAGTGTTGTCGATATTGTTAGAATGGTATTTATTGCGATATAAATAAAGGAATGATTGTTTTATTAACGGCTATCCTGGTAATTATTCATTTGTAATTGTAAACTGTTTTAAATCTTTTCTTGTATTTACGTACATACCTACACAAAGACAATTTTGATATGCACATTTTTGGTCGAGAAACTCCACTGTTGAAAGTCGGATTATACTTTCAGTTGCTTTAAGTTACAACATGTTGAATAGTCTAGGCAGCCATCCAAAGTGAAATGCTTTTATGGTTTTGGCAGCGCACTGTTATTGTCTCTATAATGAGGTGTAAAGTCATGACGACGGAAACATTTTGGTATTCACGTCGTACACACGATTAACGAAATAAATTATATGCGTAAGGATAACACATGTCTTGTATCATTTTCTACTGTAACATTTCGATAATTTACTACAATTTCACTCAAATCAATTAGATTTAATCAATTTAATTCATTTACCACAAAATCACAACTCCTGATGCGTCAGCCCCTTAACGATGGCAACTGCGTGACTCTACTGTAGTACCGGTAGTGTAATATTATCCTACGCGTTTCTTTATTAAATTCTACATATTTATAATACACATATATATTTCTTTAAATCATATATACCAAATATAGTTATCGTACTATTAACAAGAATTAAAGCAAAGCTGCCAGTGTGTTTTATTTTACTTCTATAATTAGCATTTAAATTATAGCGCAGTACGTATCACCAAAACATGAGACAACTTGAATGAAGGAGATAATACTAGTTTAACGATAAGCTGAAACTGCATGTAAAAGGGAACTAATTACAATTATTTATAGATATGATAGATACAATGATACCTGTCCGAACATATCGGTATGAAGGCAGAAGACTGAAAGCTTGATAGAATGGAATCCAGATTACCCGTAAAATACGACGATTCTTAAGTTCAGGATGGAACTTAGAAAGGGGCCTTGGTCGAAAAAGGTCTTAGTTCCAGCCTGTTTTTTGGTAATTCTAATCTGGATCTTTCTAATCGACAATTCGTTACTACTCGATGGCTTGTCCGGTAAACCGACCTCACAAAAATCCAGAATTTCTGTTTCCTCCACACAAACACACGATCAAAATCTGGACCATCTACACATCAAGGAAATATCATTGACAAACGACGTCGAACCGCAACACTATAAGCTATCGAGACTTCAAATGGTGTCACTTTGGGCAGGCAGCAACAGCAGCGTTAAAGGAAATTCTACGATCCCCCTAACCTCCCCACGAATATATCAGATCTTGAAACAGCAAGGCTTGATGCCCAGCAAACAATTGCCGACCGCGTTGATAATCGGTGTCAAGAAAGGCGGGACTAGAGCACTGTTAGAGTTTCTAAGATTGCATCCCGCTATTCGCGCTGCTGGATCCGAAGTGCACTTCTTTGACCATCATTACATCAAAGGATTTCATTGGTACAGGTATATATCATTGTATCATCTATGTTATCGACCATTTAAATTAGATGACAATATCGTTTTCCTTTGTTATTGTTCTATTTCCATGTGTTGTTTTTTTTCATTTGACCTTTCCCAAATTAAATGTTCCTGGATAATAGGTGATAAACGTTAAAGAAACAATTTCTTCCTGTGGTATTTTGCAGACACCGAATGCCCCCAACCTTAGCCACCCAAATCACGATGGAAAAGACGCCATCTTATTTCGTGACCAGTGAAGTGCCACGAAGAGTTCAACGTATGAACCCGACAATGAAATTAATTCTGGTTGTGAAGGATCCTGTTACTCGAGCAATATCTGATTACACGCAAGTAAAGAGTAAGCGAGCCAATATGCCGAAGTTCGAGGACCTGGCGTTTTTAAATGGATCGAAGATCGTAGATACGTCATGGGTGCCGTTGAAGATCGGCGTCTACGCGCGACATTTGGAAAGATGGCTCCAGTACTTTCCCCTGTCGCAGTTTCTATTTGTGTCGGGCGAGAGATTGATCGTTGATCCTGTCGCCGAGATCACCAGGGTACAGGATTTCTTAGGCCTAAAGAGAGTGATCTGCGAGAAACACTTTTATTTTAACGCTACAAAGGGATTCCCCTGTTTGCTCAAATCTGAGGAACGTCCTACTCCCCACTGCCTTGGTGAGTACAATCACACACAGGGGTTAGACAAATGTAACATTCTATATTCCCAATCATTACTAAGCTTAGTAGTTTCTATTCAATTTAAATATTGTTTCAATTTTCCAAAGAAATCAATAAAATATTCGAATAAATTTCCATACACTTCATCACTAATAGAAGACACGAGAACAGTGGTACAAGTAATATTTGGATAAATATTTATTTGTTCCGGGCAAACTTATTTAAATCCAAATTGTTCGTTATTCTGTACAAAATGAAAATTAATAATACATACACGTGTCAATCGTATCTACCATTTGTAACAATGAATAACACGCTACGTTCGATTCTCTATTTGCTAAAGAATTCTTAAGAGATTACGATTACTGATTAAAAAGATTAGAATTCCTTATTCCTACATTTATCATAGCTTCAATAATACAAACATCTTAACGGCAATGTATAATTTAAGGTAAGAACAAGGGTCGTAGTCACCCCTACATAGACCCTGTAGCGATACATCGATTGAGAGATTTTTATCGTCCATTTAACCAACGATTCTATCAGTTGACGGGGATGGATTTCGGTTGGTTGTAAGACTAACGAGATAAGTAAATACATATCGAAGATAGTTAATTAAAGCGTAGTCAATGTTACGGCTCGCGTTCACTCGCGAGCCGCGAAGATGGTTCCAGCCGGCTAATCTTGCTCACGACCGTGCGTACAAAACTTAATTCTTTATCGACTACTATCGCCATGAGCTCACAGATGTGCACGGGATGTCATCGAATTCACGGTGTTCACCGTACACGCAGTGGAACATCGTTGTTCGTTCGATAAGCGAACGGAAACTAGTTCCATGAGATTGCGGTCAACGAACTCTTGGCTTCCTCGCCGTCTGTAACTTGGCATATCCTATTGACCAATCGATATTAGGGATAAGCGAAGCGAAATTGTGAATTCCGCCTGCAGAAGAGTCTAATAGACAATTTAGAGATGCGGATAGAGCGATTCAGCGATCTAATAAGTGAGAGAGTCCAGTGTCGCCGAACGAACTGCGGCATGTTGTCAATAATTCAACAATCACGATACGAGCAGCACGGTGAATCATTCTTTATCTTTTCTCAAATTTTGTCCGACAAGCTTTGGTCGACGTGAATTTGTAAATTTCATTTTTGAAATTCGGAAAATCGTAATCGCGCGAGTTGACGCGGATCAGTGAATTTTTTCGTGAGACACGCGCATGCAAGGCGTTTAGGTTTACGTAAATGGATAATTATCATGGGAAAAGAGAAGGTTTTATCGATGATTTCCATTCGTCCTTGCGCGACATGGAATAAATTTATCGCGATCGCGCGAGAAACGTGATCGTTGTTTTTTCATGTATTGACAATATTCAAACAGATTCCTGTCTTTCGTGGTATTACCGCTAGACACCGCGAATGTTACTGAACTATCAGTGATTTTTTAGCACACATATCACGCTATATTTTGTATATAATGTTGCGAAGCAACTCCGAAGAATTGTTTTCGCGAGGATGTCGTTCGTTTTTTTGTATAAATAGCTCCTATTTTCGAATTACTGTATCTTCCAAGGGGACTTCGTAGTTTCTAATTTGTTATTAACATATACATACGACGATTCAATAGGTTTAAGTATATTATTTTATTGTCGGTCGACGCCGATGATCCTTGTTTACGTTTGCATCGATGCGATACGAATATTTGAATCGTTACCGATGGTTGCCGCTGCATTCGAATGTTAAATTTTAACTACTGCGTTAGATTTAAAAATTTTAATGTTTTAGAAAACGTTCTGTTTAGATAGTAGAAATATAACGAAGATACTAAATCGAAGTATGTATGAGTTAAATGTATCACTTTGAATATAAACTCGGAGAGAAACTAACATTTTTCATCGAACAAATATATTTTTCAAACGTTTAAAAGCTTGCACGTTGAACGAATTCTATAGAAAGTCTCAATTCTTTTCCATTCGTGGATAGTTAATAGTTTCGTTGCATGTGTAATGTGCAATTTCAACGAGCGTACATCGGTTAGAAGAGACAATTATTAATAACGTCAATTAGACATTTGTAACGGTAAAGGGATATTAAAGAAATTTGTATAATCTACACAAAGAGAAATCAGGCATTGATCCTGGTATGTGCAGATAGGCACAAGCTTGCATGAACTGCAAACCAAATAATCCATTTATATTTTGCAAAGGTGCACGCACATTCGCACACGATGTAACGTGAGAGTTTGTACAAATGCGATCGTAGCGTTAAGTAAATTTCGATTGAGTGCTAGTCATAGATAGTTGTTAATCAATTAGAGTTTATTCCGAAGAAGCCGTATGTTCTTCGCCTTTCGATAATGGGGACATGTTTAAACGATTTTAGGAGTTTAAGTAAACGTTAAGTGAGTCGATTCTGGAATAGTTAAGTATACATTAAGTTACTTTGCTCAAGTGGCCTAATTGATCTATTTGAAAAGAGGAGAATCTATAAATAAATAACAATAATTTATGGAATATAACACAGAGTGCGTAATGTATACTTACGTTTTATCGAACACAACGAGTTCAATTCGTTTAAAAAGAAGGGTTTATATTCTATTGTTCCTTCTTTTTCGTCAATTCAAAAACTTTGTTATTGGTTCCTAAAAGTAGCATTATTCGTAAACTAATTCCGATACGTTATAACAGAAATGATTTCCGCGTACCGGGTAACTTTCTCTCGGAAAGTTTAAGCAACAAAAATATTCTTTATTTACAAGAATTTACGAATCAATGGAGAAAGAAATCGTTTTGTTAGCCTGCACTCCGAACAGCACTATAGACACACGTCGTTATTGTGTATCCTACTCGCAGGACAAAATCTAATGTAGCAGATCCTGTACAAAGTAAATCTAACAGGAATCGAAAATAAATTTATGTTTCTAAGAAATACGTTCAAAGAATCGTATTCTTTATCATTCGATACCGCATTCCCCCTTTGAATCCGGAGTAAGGTTCCCTCGTCAGAAGAATCTTGTCGCAGGTGACAAATAATTACCAACAAGTATCCTGTTATATATTTTATAATAAACAATTGCCTTCCGACGTCGGGAAGCAACGCGGTAATCATTAAATGTCTTTACACACCTGTAAAGAGTATTATATTTAATACTTTCCTCGAATTATCCATCCCGGCATAGATACTCCGTTTAAGGGGACAAAGACATTATGTGGTCACTGGTTCATTTTCTACGTCTATTCAACTATCGAAAGAAAAATAGAAGGGGAGAGAGAATGTTAACAATATAAATCGAGCCATTCCATGGAAGACGAACTGCAGAACTACGAAATTTTGTTCGGACGACGTTTATTACACTGTCCAACGAATATTAATATCCTTCCTATTCTTCGACATTCGATCAGCGATTGTCATAGGTTCCCGTGCACTTGCATACGAATCTGAAATTCATTTTTCTCGATTGTTATCGATTATTCCTCTTCAAACTGGAATTTTCTGAAATTTCGCGATTCATTCGCGGAGACCAATTAAAGAAAATGAATTTTCAGATTCGTCGTTCTGCCTAAAAAAATTGCCTATAATGATCATCCAATGCGTGTTGCAGGCTAAAATTCGCGTTGGACAGCGTCATTTCCGGAATCGTGGTAACACGATCCCCCGTTTTCTCTTGGCAACTGCGAAACTCCATCGAAACGGCGATATATAACATTATATATACATATATATATTATATATATATATACTATATATATATACGTATAATATATATGTATATAAAAAATATATAGATGCGGCATATACGTTTTATTCGGTTACTCTACTCTTATGGTTAAGATCCTTGAGCAATCTTGTCGATTGGTGGACGGAATACATATTGCTGAGAGAGACGCCGTTTACGATACAATATGTCGGTATGTTCATCATACATAAATCGTCGTAAATACTAAAACGCGTAATACAATTCGATCGTGGGTAACGAATACTGATTCGATACTCGGTACAAATTACCGTACACTTTTTTTCTGCGGAAGGTGGTGGGGGTAGGGGTGGAAGGGCAAGGAAAGGACAGGGGCTTGATCGAGGATCGAGGAGCAGGTGAAGGAAGATCTTACGTTTCTAACAACAACAACGTTGTCCCCGTTGACTTCGGTTCTCGCGTTGTCGCTCATGAATAATTTCTCCCTGCGAACGAACAAAGACGAAAACCCGTTCCTCGTCGAATCGTGTGAGACAATAAAGGGACGATTGATAAGAAATGAATTTTGCATCCGTTGTTAACTTATCCGTTAAATTATCGACTACAAATGTTGCTTAACGTCTATCGCTATAAACACGTTTGTGATCTCTCGATACTCATCCTAACGCACTCAAAGGCTCTTCTAATGACGATTTCACTTATGTATGTCTGTGTGTTTCTATGTATTTGTGTGTATGTGTGTGTGTGTGTTTAAAGAAGTAACTAGACAGCGGATGGTCACTCGATTTCTAATTTGAACAGTCGAAACAATTGGAGAATCGAATCCTTGCTAATCAAGCATCCGCGATCTAGCGGTGCCGCGATCGACCGTCGATCCCGGCAGAAATGCCTGTGTAGTACATGAGAGACATGCGTGAAAAGGGAAACCAATATTTTTCCCCCTCGTGTTTCTTTTTGTCGGGTGTATATATCGGACCTTCGACGACGCGAAGCGTCCTCCTTCCGTCTCGGATCGTTCCAAAGGTCTCGCGTTCGCGTTTTCAGTTCGTCGATTAAGCACGTAGTCGCACAGCCCTGCTACGATACGATATAACAGACCCAGCCTGCTTTCAATCCGACAGGACAGAATGGAAACTCGCCGCGAGTCTGTACAGAGATCTGAATCAGAGGCAACATACAGGTAACTAAAACTGTACAATTCCCTGCCCTCTCTGGGTGTTTCGTTCTCCGTTCTTTCCCCTCCGTTTCGCACCCGAGCGACGTCGCGTGGCCGTCGACAGGAAGTCTGCGAAATCGGTTACGTACAGATCGGATTACCCGGTGTCGACGAACTGGAGGTGACACGTTCGAAATAAATCCGTATATGTATACGTATAGGGTGTTCGGCGAAGGACGGCAGAAAATTTAAGGGCGAAATGCAATATCAAATGCATGGACGCTGCGACTCTGTGACCAGAGTCGGACAAGCTGTGTGCTTCATGCACTTAAACGGATACACGCGTGTGTTACGCAACACACTGTTATTACAGCTTGATATGACACATTCAATACAATTTTTCGATTTGTCACTGACAAAGTACATATTAATACAGTATTCTTCGCGTTAATTTTACTTTTTTGCTGTATCTCTAGGGACCGTGACAATTCGCCAACAGCGCTGTTCGCGAGACAGAGATCTCGACTGACCAATAAGACTGTTCGCATTACACGGTCGCGATGGATCGTCCTCTAAATTTTCTGTTGCCTGTCGCCAGACACCATGCACATAAATATATATACGCAAGATACGCTCATGCGACCGAACCGTTCTTCCAGGAACATCCGATCCCTATCACAAATTGAGACACAATTCCGATAAGACTTAAATGGCAAGTTGCTACGAAGCGCTTCCACATAGTGGCAAATGGAGGTTCCTACATCTTACAGAGATATACAAACAACAACGGGTTACTCGAATTGTTCCAAGTTTCATTGCTTCATCCTTTTTCTCTCCTACGAACGCCCGTCATCGGCGTATTATGTACACAACACGGGTCGCAATTTTCGCGATCCCCGTCTTCCTTTTGTAATTCGAATTCGTTCGATCACCGATTCACCTGAACCCTCGACGCTCGACGATCCATGGTTAAATAACACTGTGGTGTCTCGCGCACATACGGGGAGGGGGGAAGCAAATTATGGCATCGGGATGCGCTTCTAGCACCGTGAAGGCAAGCGATACGTTTACTCGTTCGTGAACGGAGCCGTTTCGTGTTTCTGTGGCAAGCTCGGAAACGGTCTCTGGCTCTTCATCGCGTTCTCTCCGTCTAGTTTCACCCTTCGTGCGTGTCCTCCGCGCGAACTCCATCCGAGGAGCGCGGAGTTCTGTTCTTTCGCTCTGAAAGCCGCGACTCTCCGCGCGAGGAAGGAGCGTCGAGTCCAATGGAATCAAGCAGGAAAGAAAATTAGAGAAGAGAAGAGACGAGAAAACAAAAAGAGAAACAGATGGGGACTACGAAAAACACGGGACTCGAGACTCGAATAATCGAGTCGCGGGTTGACCGCGTCGAAAAGGGTTTCCGGTTCGATCGAGGTTCCAACGTGGAGGATCAGCGGATCGTAACGACAGAGAGACGAACGCTGACCGAAATTTCTATTCTTTCTAATAACGGCGTCGCCTCCGTGGTTCCCCCGCGAGTGATCGGGATCGTTCCTCGAAGGAATCAATCCGATCGAGGTGAACAGCGTCGCGAAAGATTTTTCTGGCTCGGATCCCGAGCGCGCTTCTTCGTTCTCGCCGCGGAAAAATCATCGTACCCGTTCCCGGAGAGCGGTTACGGAAGAATGAGAAGAGTTATGCTGGCGGGTGGGCGGGTGTAGGAGAGAGTCGATCGGGTCCGAGCGTACAGTGACGTGGTTCCTCGCCGGTGCGCGACGCGTCGCTCAAAGGTGCGTGATAATGATATCGTCGTCGATATCGTCCTTCTCGTCGTCGGTCTCCTCCACCTGATTCGCCTCCGCCTGGGCGGCTTTCGGATCCTCCGCGATAGCTTTCAGCCTCCTCTGCTTACGCCTGTGTAGCAGCTCGACGACGATGTATCCCATGGTGCCGATGATCAGCACCGTCAGCATCACGTACAGCTTCATACGGGCGCACAGGTGGGTGCTGTACGCGTACGCTATCACGAAGCCGGCGCTCTCCCATAGCCTGTAGTTCGAGAACGCGGCTTCCTTGTTACGCCTGAACAGCGTGCCGTACAAACCTGCGAACACCGGTCACCGGATTCCATTAGGTTGGGTATTTACATGGGTACAGGGCCGCGCCAAATTGAGGATGCAAAGGGTACATTGCACTTGGGCGGTAATATGAATAGAGCCGCAAAAAAGGAATATTTAATGTTCATTTTATGCAGTTAATATCTAATTTGAATTATGCAATGCAGGATAATCATTACACTAGATTTAAAAACTAATCAAGTTTACTGGAACTGTAACGAATATTCGAGTATACTCAGAAGTATTAGTGTTAATTTAAAAATACTCCCAGTAAACATCCATTGTAGATCGTACTTTGTTTAATAGTTTTTTATGTCAAATTTAATACTGAGAATGATATCATTAGATGTACCATGTAAAAAATCGATTACAATGATGTTTTTCCTTTTAGAAAACAAACAATTTTCATTTGAAATATATATATATATATAATATCGATAAATCAACATTTAATCCAATTGACACTCTTATTTTGTTATAATCAGTTAAATAATTCGAATTAAATAATATTATATATATTATATATATTATATATATTATATATATTATATATATTATATATATTATATATATTATATATATTATATATATTATATATATTATATATATTATATATATTATATACCTGCTAAACCCACCTAACCTACCTAACCTACCACTTGGTTTTCTGAAAAATTCGACCGTTTTTACAAAATCCCAGTTTTTTCGAAAACTGGATCTGACCCAGCAATTTGGTTTTCGGATTCGTATTTAGGGTAAAGAACTCTATAAGAATTACATAGTGGCTATTGCAAAAACTAACATAGGTCAAAATTTGTTCCACAGTGTTATAGCAATTGTTTCGAAATTCTAAATTTTTTTATCGTCCACGATGAGATTGAAATATAAAATTTCATTGATGTGTATATAACTTCTTTGTTCGGGAATTTGTTGTTATTTTATTGCTCACGATGAAATTAAAATAGAAAATTTCAAAACGAGTTTAAGTTATACGGAAGCGACGTGAGTGGCTTAGTAGCGTGAATCAAGTATAAGCCAGCGATTACGAGTATTTGTCAAGCATTATAATAAATAGCCATTATTATACGGTGTGTAATAGACGCGTGGAAAATTCAGAATGCAAAGCGACAGTTTTAAATAATTGAAAAATACAGCGGAGGAATAATTAACGTTTAAGCAGCAATTAGAAGATAATCTGGATTTTAAATGTATGAAATATTAACGCTCGTACGATAATTTGAAGGCAAATAGAAAATAAGCTTCTAAAATGTATGGACTCGGTAATTCCATTTACTACCTTAGAAAACTAATCGCTATCCTCATTTAGTGTATATCTATTGTCAGGTATTTACATTTTAAATAAATTCAGCAAACCAATTGAATAATTAACAAATCTACAATATATTACTTGATAATTACTTCAGACACAATACTAATTCTCTGGAAAGAAGTAAACTTCCTGTGAAGATACGATACTAATTTTCTTGAAAGGAATAATCTTCCTCTGAAGATACGAACCACTCATCTAGAATGTAATTCATTTGCAGAAAAAATTTGCCGATTTCGAAACCTGGATTGGAAAACTCCGTTTCGTCACGAAGTTTAAACTGCCCTTAAACCTTTAGTTCTCGGTCGCCTTGAAACCACATATTTCAATATCAGCAACATGCAAAGTGGATCAGTCACGAAGCCAACAGTATAAATATTTATTTTTTTTAAACATCATAGGTTAGTTAACGTGTATTGTGAAAATACATGCATTTTTTTAAAGTTTTTTTTGGATTTAAAGGATTAAGCCGATCTCGTACGCGTTGAGCTGTAGTTCACGGCTGGACTAGCTATACGAGGAAACTCGTCAGCAAGACACGAATAAAAGTCCCCGATCTGCGTCTCTATTTCATCGAGTAATAAAATCGGATGTCCAATAACCAGAGTACACGTAGTTCTAACCATTAAAAGCGTTACGATGCTCGCGCAATTCTGATCGACCGATAAAAATTCCGAACGCGCGTCGCACTCCAGGCTGCGAGTGAAGACTACACCAGAGTGAGGGACAATTGAGGATGTTTCTGGAAAAAAGCTAACAAGTCAAGTGACAAGTTGGGTACATTGAAACAGAAGCATTATTCTTAGTTTATCCAATACGTTTCTATGTTTGAATTGATAATCGAGTGGCTTTTAAAAATGAAATATAGAAGGAATTCTTTAGACACACGATAACTAGTCGACTTGACCCACAGATCTATCTATTGATCAGAGAGTCCGGACCAGCTTTAACACGTTCGCGACCAGCGTCATACATTCCTGACCCTAAGCATTCTATATCTTGCGTAAAGAAAATTCAATCGCTTTCAATATGTGTGTTAGCACCTAAAATCGTAAATACGTAGTGTAAAGTGTAGTAACTCGACACGATCTTTCCCCTGCATTTCATTTGCATGCCGCGAAGATGATTCGTTGTATCCAATAAAATATTGCAATCATCAAGGCTGCTACTGAAACGAACGTCGATCGCAAACGTGTTAACAAATAGAGGATGCGATTCGTTCAAATATCACGTACCATTAACTTGCGTCTGCCAGACCGCGTCGCCGACTCCCCACAGTCCGGAAACGGTGAAAAATACGTAAGGGTTCGCGGGGTGCGGTTTCCAGTGAAGTAGCACGACGACAAGACTAGCATGTACGATGGCGCCCAGCGCCATCAGCGGCTGCCTGCCGACGAATTTCATTAGGGAGCCGAAGACCAGGGAGCAGGCGGCGTTCACCACGCCGAAGCAGATCATTACGTAGCCCACTCGGTGCACGCCCAACGCGCAGGAAATGTACGCCTGTAAACAGAAAAAAAGAACGAAAAGAATAACAAGAAACAGCGAAACAGGGTGGGAGAAGGGAGCTGGCAGCGTGTAGTCGATTGGTCGGTGTCGGTGGGGAACGTTAAACGGAACGGCGCGGCGCCTCGATAATATTCCAC